ATTCCATACAAGCGTTTGCACCACTGGGAGCTGAAAGAGTTTGCATTGCCTGGAATCAGTGTGTGTGTGTGTGTGTGTGTGTGTGTGTCGAGAGAACAGGTAATTTGAGGAATATTCCATTTAAGTTCCTCCCTATAGGGCACAGCTACAGAGAGGAACTTACTGACTATGAAATGAGGCTGCAATATCGGCATGTCATGAGAAGGAGTATGTTTGAGTGCGGACAAGTGTGTGTGTGTGTTTGTGTGTGTGTGTGTGTGTGTGTACACACACGTACCAGAGTCCGGAGCCAGCATTCTTCACAGTGGACGTGCCAGCACTGGATGGAGGTGAGCGGCATGGTGTAGGAATCCTAGGAGCAGAGAGGGGAAGGGGGGGAAGGGGGGGGGTTAAGTTACACCAAATTCAGAGGACACACACATGCCGGGTAACACCAACCAAAAACGACACTGGACAATCCCTGACCGACAGCACCAGACCACTAACCATGGGACCACACAGCCAGTAGCCACAGCACCACTGAGCAAGGCAGCATGGGGGGCAAGTGAACCAGCAACCTGCAGGTCTCACACACACACACACACTGATACGATCGAGGCAGGCAACGAGCACAGACGGAGGGAAGCAGGCAGAGGGAGGACAAGATGAGGGATGAACGACCCAATCAGATGGGCCCTCTTTTCTTTTCCTCTCGAAAAGAACGGAAAGATGAGGGAGGAACGGGAGGGATGGGGGAAAGGAGCGGAGGAGGGAGGGAGTGCCTTACCCTCCGTAAGGGCTGTGGGAGGAGCCTCTTTATGCCGCTGCCGTAGCCACCAATCACAAGGCCCCTGTACAGGCAGTACAAGCCGAGGGGGAGGGACTTAGGCTGCCTCTCTCCGACCCCATTGGCCAGTGGCCGGGGCACTGGCCACACCCCTAGGCTCTTGATCTCTGCGCCTGACTGGATAGCAGGCTTCCTCTGCGGAAGGGAGGGGTGGGGGGGGAGAGCTAATCATAGACGCAGGCTCGTACTGATCGCGCACTCACAAACACGACAGGTGCAACACAAACGCGTGGACACACACACACCCAACCACACACACGTGAAGGTGTGCAGGGAGGACAGCCGATGGACAACCTGCTGAAGAACTCGCCTACTGTGTTCGACCTGACTTTGTTTTGACAAATAAAGAGATGTATCTATGCTGGTGACTTGGCTAAGTTGCTCAAAGTTGATAGTATCAAAATGTAACTACAATTGAGATGGGCAGTGTCATTCACGCTGTACCTTGATGGCAATTGATTTGTTGCCTTCAATGTCTTTCTTTATTTCGCAGGAAGTTACAAGATCTCCTTGGTCAAAGAACTCTGTTTTTAATTCCAAAATCGACTATTGCAATTAATGTCTTTGTCATCCGCTGATACTGCTAAACAAGGCTGCTGTGTAGGTCCATGTCACAACGCTGAGATGGAAAAGCTCATCATCACATTTGAACTGTTGCTAACAATTATTACATTATTGTTTCATCTGTTGTTTGGGATTAATCCATTAGCTGTTTTGTCTATGAAATGTCTGAATATGAAAAAAAAGGCCATCATTTCCTAAGGCCAAGATGACGTTTGGAAATGCCATGTTTATTCTTATCTGACCAACAGTACGAAAAATCAAAGTTATTTAGATGACTTTCTGTTCTAAAAACATCTAAGTTTGTAGAATAATTATAGAATGTAATAATTTTCTAAATGTCCATCTTATTATCTAAAAAACATTTATACCATACAAATCCTCAATAAATGTCTTTTTCTTAACCAGACACTACAGTTTCCCCCTCCCTAAGATGGCCAGCAGATGGGGGTAGAAAGCCACTGATGAGACCGAGGGTAAACTTGAGCCAACTTGGCTGCAGCAGGAGAGCACTTGTTTTCTACTTACAAGCAACCAACAGACCATTAAATCCATGTGTATGTTTGAGGTACTGACTCATAATAACTCTGCTTACATTTTGAATGCATTTACTCAGAGGTTGCCGTGGAAATGCCCAGCTTTAAATGCTTCCCGATTGACAACAAATGAAAGCAATTCTAATGACTTTCACGTCGTCCACCCTGTGACAGGTAGGGAACACTGTGACGAGTTAAAGACGGACAGAGACGGATTAGATGTAAGACACCAGTGTGTGTGTGCGTGTGAAAATGTTACACATATTTCTATTCCTCTGTATGCCTGAATGTGTGTGTGAGTGTAAGATGAGGGACAGTGACAGATGAGCGGAGAAGAGCTGTGTGTCCATGGGGCAGTGAGTGATCGATCGCTGTGCCTTGCCCTCCGTGTCACCTCGGGCACCCGGCGACCTTTAGGAAGCGCAGGCGTCCGTAATTACCCGGATTGCACACACACAGTCACACCAACACACACACTCAGGATGCCAACGCTGCACTGTCCACAAGCTTGAGGGATGACAGGATGACACAAAGTGGGGAACACAAACTGTGATTGGGTGGTGGTGGGGGGAGGGGTGCAGGTGCAGTCCTATCTCAAGCATCTGATGAACATGAATATTGACATATGTCCCTCAGACTGCCTGATACTGCCCTGAGTGAACATGTGGCTAATACTATTGATCTGGAAGTCCAATCGATCATGTTGAAAAGCAAATCTTCACACAAAATCTAAAATGTGCCGGCTGGTTATCAATACATTTAATCACCCTGAGACTGTCCTGCACTTCCCACAGGGGTCTCTGGGGTCTCCCTGCACACATTCAGTTGACTGGCAAAGCCATGCAGGAGCAGAGACCACCACAACACAAAGCGCTCAGACACTTTAAGAGACTTGGGCATCCACAAACTGAGGGAAATGAGATGCATGCAACACAACACGGTGATTGATGACAACCTCAAGCCAAATACCTGCGAAACACAAAGTGGCCACAAAAGCAATGCCTGAAGACTCGTTCCTATAGCAGTCCAATGTGCCGTGGGCTGGGTGATACTTTAGTTTGCAGAGACTAGGGATGTCATGGGAACTGACGCTTCCTTACTAAGTACAAAAATGGCAGTACTTTTTTTCCTACAGTGCCACAGGTATTGAATACTACATTTCTGGTATCGTGACCCATAGCAGAGAGTGCAACAGTTTTGACCTAAATGCAGTAAAATAGGGACGAAAGGGCAAAATTGGCGTTGTCAGCCCAATATGAAGTAATTGGCCGAATAATGAAGAATATGGAGGATCCTGTTAGCTAGATTGGTTGGCAGGAGGGCTTTGTTCATTAAGCATGAACAGAGCAAAGAGAATCATGTGGAAATGTAGCTACTTGCGCTAACACTAGCATTCCTGTAATCTGCACTTCTATAAAGAAAGTCTGCTGGTTTTTGCCTCCTGTCAAAAGACACCCTCACTGCCATTAAGGGAATAAATGATATGCTCACCATGCAGATGAGACACTTGTATCGGTCTCCTCTCAGAATCTGCCTCTCCAGCTCTCTGATTCGAGCCTTCAGAGCATCCATGGTGGTAGCCGTGGAGTCCTCCTCTGTTACCCTGAGGGAGGAAGAGAGGATGAGATGTTGAGCTTTGACATTGTGAAACATATTGACAGTGTAACATGTGAAACCTAGAACCATTGACCAAGTAGACCGTGTGTACAACATTTAGTGACTTTAAGGTAAATAGATACTTTTTCAAATGAGATGAACGCGTTTAATATAAAAGTAGTTTGTCGTTGCGTTTTATGGAACAGACTATTCTCCGAGGTAGGTCTATTTACTTTACATTATTCATTTAATTGTGTTGCTGTTTTGTATTTTCTAACAGGGAATAATACTCTGTTGTGCCTTGACATTAAGCCCACTTCTTAGAAAACATATATAGATATATAATGTGTATCGCCATTCGGCCTTCAAAATATAGAGATAGGATTTTGGTCCTTTTTTGACCCAGCGATAGTCAACATGTGTTTTCAGGGAGTTTTTGAAAAGTTCTATGCTAACATTGACACAGAAACAGTTAATAAGCTAAATGTAACAATGCATTAACACATTTTATCCTTTGCACTCCCCTCTCGAATTGAGAAAAGTGCCCATTCCTCTTTTTCTAATATCTCTTGTTTAACTTTCATCCTCTGGATCTCCTCTCTTTTGTTTTGCCATCTATCCTCATGTCTTTCATCCCTCTCAATGTATCTCCTTCATTCTGTTTTGATCTGCTCTCCCCCTTTCTTCATTCTATCCACCGTCCTACCTTCCCCTCTCCTCCTGAGCAGCCTCTGATTAATGTGTAGCATGATAACAGAAAATGTGCATTTAACACTGTCCGACAGCATATGAAGCAGCCATAACTAAATCAATACGGTCGACCACAGCGCTGCAGCTGATGATGATTTGGCGCAGCGAGACGAGGCCGCACCGTGTTTATTATAGCCATCTGCACGATGTGCGTGTTCAAATGGGACTGTGTGTGTGTGTGTGTGTGTTTATGGTGATGTGGGCATTTTGCAGCCTGATAGCTAGCTGATCTATGGTATTGATCTGGATAGGGAAGGACAAGCGGGGAGAGGGCGAGAGCGAAATAGAACGATAAGTGGCTGTGTGTGTCCTAGGATATGGCTTCATTTGCTGCATCCTCAAACAGCAGAGGCTACAAGGAAAGGATAACAAGGATTGACTTTCTGAATGTACTATTAAGAGACAGGTTTCCTTCAATCCATGCCTGCAATGCAATAGTAATAATAGAAGTTAACATGAATAGATTTACATTGTATTTCCTTGATTCCTATCATAAAGCTTATTGAAATGAAACATATTTGGTTTGCAAGACCATCACCAGAATTCTATAATTACTCCAGTGTTAAGCTCAGGAAGTGGTGCAAAAGCAACAACAACTCTCTAAAAACTCTGATGTGATCGACGCACATGTTTTTCTCCATCTTTTTTAAAACCTTGGAAGAAAAACTAAACATTTTAAAACAAAGTTAAGGTAAATGTAATTTATTTGTACATTTTAGTTTTTGGATCATTGGTCAAATCAAGCAATACAGTTGCACTCTGTTTTTTACACTTTCCTTTTTACAATTTTTTGATATTCATAAACGACTTGGCAAGTCAGTTTGTCTTCCTTCACTAAAGGTGGACCTGCTCTATCCCCTGCCTGAAGCCCACCACCGTCCTGTGTCTATAAAGGTTAAGTTGGGACTCCTAGACAGGCTGGCCGTCCCGTGCCCTATAAACTGCTTTAGCCTCTCCTCTTATTAGTCCTGAGATTGTAAAAAGCCATTTAGCCTTGATTAGCCTGCTAGCTGATAAATGGTCAGTGGACTCTGGGCTGGATGGGGGTTGTCCCTAAAACAAGGCTGTCTCTGCCTTTTAACAACTCCAATAAAGCTCCCTATCGCTCAGTCGAGGAAAAAACTCTGCCAAGGCGCTTCCCGTCTTTGTCCGAAGTGAGTTTAAGAACAAGGACAGAAAAACAAGTTTCTGCTTTTCACCCTTTCGCCTCTGTATTAGTCGTTCCGTCTCTATAATCAACATCTGTTTAGCAAAGGTGATTTTTGGAAAGTCGTTTAACGTCCTAATTTGATATGTTCATTTAATTTGACGTGGCCATTTAAACTGGGGGCAAGGAGGGGGGGGATGAGGAGATGCAAAGATTGAATGGAGGCAACAAGGAGAACAGGATGATTTCACAGGGCCAGGGAAAGGAAAGACAACTCTCCTGGGCTACACAGAGAGATAAACTACCTCTCCACCAGCAAAAAACTACAAGTACAAATCCTTGAGTTTAAGCTCTTTATGCTACGTCGCTGATTTAAGCTGGCTCAGGGGTTTTCAAGCTTTTCAGTTTAGGAGCCAAAAATACTGAAATTGATGTCACTGGGACTCTGGCTTAGTAAACATGTCAGGTGGACTCGCAGAAACACTTCAGATTGGGTAACAACCTAAAGTGTAAGGGTGTTACGGCAAGTTTCCATGAGTGTGTGTCCCAGGGGGAGACTCACGTTATTTACGCTACTTTAAAACATATTTACATCATATGGTTATAAACCTGATTTGCGAGCTTGTATGATTGCAGGTATTGGTGGCGATACAACAATACTAATGATACTATTAGGCTATTGCATGTGTAAGCTGTTGATAACAGTTCTTATAAAGAAAGAGCCTTAGAATCTGCTCAAATCTAAATCAGGAAGTTAAATGGAATTGGGTTTTAAATTATAAATAAAGTCCTGGACTCGATGTTGAATACAATAGCTGTACAGGAACACCAGATCTAACATTTATAAATCGTTGTATGGATATTAAACTGTATGTACTGCACATCTGTTTGGGCAGAGTGTTTGTGGGCACAGTGGGACAAAGCTCCGTCTCGGTACGTTTCGACTGAAGCCGTGGCCTTCATTTGAAAGCCTGGCATCATAAAACTTAAAGATCCAACACTGGAATAAAACTTCCATTCACGCAACATGCTGCTACTCCAGCTCAGTTAGTGGCCCACCGGGCTATTTTGGACGGTGTGTGTGTGTGTAAGTGAAAGAAAGTGAAATTGCCGTGCATTTCCATCTCCAGTCAGCCCTATGGCGACAAGCAGGCAGGAGCGCATGACAGAGACAGATAGATGGCTGCGCCTCCCCTCTATTTAGCGCTCCATCCCCAACGTGTGTGGGGCTATTTCTCATTTCATTAGTGTGTGTGTGTGTGTGTGTGTGTGTGTGTGTGTGTGTGTGTGTGGCTGAAGACCCTCCACCATCCATCTCAATCAGCCCCGTGTCTTAATCTACTGTCTACCAACATTTTGGCCTCACTCGGCCTCTCTGGCTCTCTCACCGCGAGCACACAACAAATTATAAAATTAACAATTCATTCTCAGAAAAACCACAATATTCTAGGAAACATTTGATCCACCTGGTAGGGAAATAAATCTCTGTCAGGCAGGTGCTGTGAAAATAGCAGTGGTAAATCCCTTTAGAGCATCATTGTCTGCTGCACCCTGTTAACCGAGGCCTTAACTACACTGACACACCATGATAAAACATTTAAGTCACTATTGATTTCCCCTGCCCCAGCCCGATCTGTGTGTGTCTGAGTGTGTGTTTCTGTGTGTGTAGGTCTCAGGGGGCCAAAGGGTAGGGGATAGTGGGGGGTGTTTTGTAAGTGCCTGAGAAAAATTGAGACAGAGGACGAGAAGAGACGAGCAATGGGAAAGAGAAAAAAGAAGGCAGAAAGAGAGAGAAATGTGGCTTAGCGACATCAATAAAGGAGAAGAAGGCAGCCAGAGCTACTGGGCAGTGTGTGTAGGGGGGGGGGAGTCTAGCTTCATCACTTCCAAATTGAGGACAGATTCAATTATTTGCAGAAACCACATGGAAATCTCTCCGCATTGTTCCAGCTGGAGCACCAAATTTGGCAGCAATCGCATTGGCTGCATTGGAGGGGCCATTTATCTTGGAGGGGAAAGAGCATCTCAGGCGTTGCACGTGAATGTGTATGTGTGTGTGTGAGCTCATTTATCTTGCGGGGGAATGAGCAAGGGAACAAGGACGCCCCGGGAGGCAACCAAATCATTACCCATCTGGGATCAGAGACAGAGAGAGAGATTTCACTAACGCTGTGCAGAGCACACACAGCGACACACACACATGCACAATGTATCAATGTAACGAAAGGAGACAAATCTCATTTTCATTTGGGGACGGAGAGGCACAGAAGCTCCACAAATACGTGCATTTATAGCAAGTGGAGAGGAGTGAGGCGGGGAATTGTTCCAGCCAGCTGACTGCCTGTTCCATTGCAATCATTCAGCATCTCGTTGGCTGGCTTTAAATGGATACTTAGATTAAGGCATGTTCTGCTCCAGGTGGCCAATAACACCTCAGCTAGAACATCATGTAGCAACACACACAGACACATTCTGGCCTTAACTAAGTCATAACGTCGGAAATTCTTAGGATTTAAGGTAGTTCTTGGAAATATGCTTCAGGTGAGAGTTGATGATTGCAACTAAATGAGATCTGTTCCTTGCCAGGAAATATTCCCTTACTGACATTAGTCTTAGTTGTGTATGGTCTATGGCAGGAACATTTATTACAAAAAACGGTCTTAAAGTAACTGCTCTGTAGAGAAACTTGGACTCGATGCCATCTAAAACTGTCCAACACTAGACAACAACAATTAGTTGTTTCACAGAAAAACAATTGCCAACTTTTTCGATAATTGATTATTTGTTAATCTTGAACTGAGTTTTTCAGTCTCTAAAAAACCAAAAGCATATTTCCTGCTTTTCTCAGTTTTATATTGTATTAAAGTGTATGAAAATATATTTCAAGATACCAGGGTGGAATTCGGGAAATTTGGATGCACATTTTTCTGACATTTTATAACCAATTAATTGATATATAGAGGTGTATATCTATATACATATTTTTTATGTATATATCTATATATATCTATATATATATATAGAAAGTGATCGGCACATTTATCACAATGAAAATAATCCTTAGTTGCATCTCTATCCTCTACAATAACAAATAGCTTTGCAACTATTTAATGTAAACAGCACCATAGGAGGGCAACGCTTCCTCACCGACATCAATACCATGCCTACTGTGCATGTGTGTGTGCACAAATAGATCAATCAGCGCTGTTTGACCATTGTGTCTACACACACACCTGCTTACATCTCATTCTCTCAGACACAAAGATAAACACAGGGTTAAACAAGGACGATCACAGCACGAAAAAAAAGAAGCTTCAAATGCATCCCCTCGCTCAACACACACACACACACACACACACAAAGACAAACTCTCCCTCTATCTCTCTCACACACAGACACACACACACTTTCTCTCTCTCTCTCTCTCTCTCACACACACACACACACACACACACACACACACACACACACACACACACACACACACACACACACACACACACACACACACACACACACACACACACACACCTTGCGGGTCTGTTTCTGATCAATACACTTCAAGCTGCTCTGCTTATTCACCAGTTATCCCATCTGCTGATATTTAATATGGGTAACACACACACTTAGGATTGATTCATCTAAATGAAGCATTTAGCGCGTGCTGTCTCCCCAGGGCTGATGGGAAACATTCTTAATAAAGGAAAGCTATAAAAATGGCTATTCTCAAAAGTAATGTTTTTAGTAAATATACATTTAACACCTTCCTTAATCGTATTATGTCATTGGATTCCTGCTCTGTTAGCCACTGCAGCTTTGACTGAGGTTTCCAATAAGAGGAAAAACAACACACACACACACACACATCATTCCCACCTATACATTTTGCCTGAGGAAATGAAACTGAAAGCGGGAAAGGTTAGGAAAATGAGATGAGAGGGGGGATTTTTAGGGGGTATTCTAAAAAGGCACTTTGGGTGGACAAAGGAAAACACTTTAGGAAATAGGGTTTGGGATGGAAGGCAACAAGCAGACTGACCCCAGCTCAGTGTGTGTGTGTGTGTGTGTGTGTGTGTGTGTGTGTGTGTGTGTGTGTGTGTGTGTGTGTGTGTGTGTGTGTGTGTGAAATCGCACGGGGCAAAAGGACAGGAGAATATGCCAGACATGCAGAAGCAACCAATCAACCAAATCCCTCTTTCTCTTTGCTTGCTTGCCCACTGACGTTTCTCTCTCGCAATGAGCTGACCTCTATTGCCCATGCGGGGGACAGGGTGTGTGTGTGTGTGTGTGATTGTTTGCTTGTGGCAGAATATGGATGAGGAGATGGAAATGAGGGAATTACAGAGCGCTGGCCTCTCACACACACACGGGGTGTTCTAATGGAGAGGTCAGTGTGTGTTTGCAGCACAGCAAAGCGAGGGGGCTTTTTTTGTTCTGTCCAATCCAGCATCAAGCTGCAGTCATATTCACATGACAATATGACACCATTAGAAGTGTTTCTTCTAAGGCTGAATGGCTGAACCTGGTATTTTGTCAGTTAAAGTACTGCTCTTTTTTGATAATATAGGTTGACTGAGTCGGCTGCAAGGCTGTACTTCAACCAGTATTGTGAAACTTGAATTGGATTTGCTTTTTTTATATACGAAGAATCATTTGTTGGGTCCTTTTTTTTGTGCTAAATTTAGGTTGGGGGAGATCTGCAACATCGAGACCGTCGACGTTTGTGTCGTTTTTGGTTCATGGCCTCCTAGAATACGAAAATATAATTAAAATGCACACTGACTGACCAAATACACTTTTATTAATGGGTAAAAACGGGTGACAGTGTTGACTTGTTAAATTCTGATTCAGATACATCATCTATAGTGGTTAACATGCAGAGTCTCTTTGAATAACAAGTGTTTGTTCACACATTTATTCATGCAGATGGCTGTGTTGACAGGGAAGGCCATTTTGATTTTAATATGTTTGGGTAATAGTTCATAATTTTGAGCACTGTGTCATTTGTTTTCCCTAATGTCTGCCTCCAATCTATGAATGCCACAAGTGTGATGTTCAGGGTCCAATCTTATCTCACTGTATAAGCGGTGTTGTTGTGAGATAACATTAGCATCTTTTCACACTGCTGCCTTCACGAGCGTGTCCCGTATCTGCTTGTGTCTATGTTGCCATTAATGATTCTAAGGCAGCTCTGAGGGGACACAACTGCAGGAAAATCAATACCTGGAGACACACTCCTAGTCACACACACACACCCAGGAAAAACAGAAACCACACAAATTGCATCACTTATGACCGTCTACAAGTCGACTCTCCCACAAGTACGAAAACTCATCACAAAGTCATAGAATCACAGAGTGTGTGTGTGTGACGTCTGACGATGGGAAACGTGACAGTCGTTTCTGCGTCATCACAAAGCGTGTGTGCACATATGAGAAACCTACTTTTCGATCTCGCTGTTTTTACAGGTGCGCGGGGCGCAGGAGGAAGAGCAGGAGGATGAAGGAGTGCCGGGGTCTGTCTTGCTGCTTTCTCCGTTGCTTGTTGAAGGCATCTCTGTAAACACAAACAGAAGGCATGGTTAACACTGGACAACAAGCTTCAATTAGCATTCAACAGCTCAATGCTACATTCCTAGAAACTGTCAAAAATTAGTAGATAAAGTGAAACGAATATATAACAATATACTTTATAAATACAAGACTTCATTCTACAAGGTTTCAAGGATAGAAAAAAAGGCAGTAAAAATGAGAATAAGGCTAAAGTACACAGAGTGCGAGACAATAAGAATCCCCAGCTCTGGGGAAAAAAGGATACACCACTATAATTACATTCTTAATACACTTCTTCTAACTTGAAACTATTGTGTGTCTCATGTAAATAGCACCCTATTCATGGCATCTTGGCTTTGTGGCTCTTAAATTGATTAACTGAGCTCATGACTTGTGGTGAATGCTCCACCTATTCTCCTTTGTGAGAATTTGTTTGCTAAAAAAACCTATGGCACTTTTGACAAATGATCTATCTTTTCGTGTGAGTAAGTATATACACTTTATATGCAGTCCTGCAATACTAAACTCTTATGAATACATTTGTGAAATGAAAATCCTACCGTCGCTGGCCCATTTGGAGCATTCAGGCGTTATTCTGTTAGAAGGTATCCCACCGCTGCAACACAGAGACACAACAGTTAGTATGAACGTAGCCTTTAGGGTGCATTCCATTAGCCAACATTAGTTAACTCTGCTAGCTCATTGTTAAGGTTTCGTACTTGAGCACGGCCCCCCGTAGCGCCTCCCTCTCCCGGGCCTCCCCCTGGTCCTCCCCGGCCCCGGAGCAGGGGATGATGTCGGCCTCGGTGTACTGCGCCTTGCCGTACTCCAAGGTGTCGTCTCCGTCCACGTCTAAGTCTACGTCGCTGTCTGCCGCGCTCTCCTTGACGCTACACGTGGCGAAACCAGTTCCTGTGAAAGTAATTCAAAGACCATCTTTTAGGATTATTTATATTTCACATCACTAACCTTGGAAATTGTGTGCGGGAGTGTGACAGAACATTGGTCCCAAGTGGTTTGATATATTGAAAAACTGGTGATCAGCTGAATTTTGAGCCCACATTTAAATAGTACAATCCCACAGCTAATCACTCGTACTCTAACGCAATGCAGTGAGGCTTGTTCTAAAAGTTATTGAATGAATGACATGCTAATTGCTGCTCAAAAAAGCCCCTAAGTGAAAAAACACTGTTATTGTGGCACATGAAAATAGCAATGAATAGAACAATCAGAAGGGGGCATTAGAAATCAAAACACTGTTTTATTTTCAAATATTTGTACATACTTAATACATTTTTAATTAGGTATTGTTATCATTACATATCATTGTATCCCTTAGCTGAAATATGACTATAATTTCTTTCATTTTTTTAACCACACAACATAACTAAATTCACTCAGTGGCACCCCAAGCGTTCCCTTTTAAAGTTATGACTGCATTGTCCTCATCTCTTGATTCCACTAGGCACATTTTAAAGGTCTACAAAATACTTTGGCCTCAAACTTCTTCCTGAGAAACTTTAAGATCTTAAATTTTAGCTCAGTTAAAACTTTACTTTTTCCCTTTCCAATTACAGGTCTGTAGATGGGAAAATATTTGGTCAGAAAGACAGCGTTCAGACATGGGTGAACTGATGAAGACTGACACCTCGCCCATCAATCCCTGAGAGAAAGAGAGGGCGAGTGTGTGTATGTGTGTGAGTGGCACTTCTATAAACCCAGTGATGAACGCTCAGACAAACCCTCACCGCTGCCTGACTGCTCCCTTCAGCTCCACTTAGCCACAGAGCTGGCTGTGTGTGTGTCCGTCACTTAAGAGGCGTCTCCTCAATGTTTGTTTGAGACTGTCTGTCCCTCTGTCACTTAGGCCCCTTCTCTCCAACCCCCTTGAAGGAGTGTGTGAGTGTGTGTGTGTGTTTGTGTGTGTGTGTGTGCACGCAAGTGTGAGTCAGTCTACCTGTCACTTACTCGTGTCTATCTACCACGCATAGGTAGGTAAGGTGTGTGTGAGTTACTATTTGAGCACTTGCAGGTGGGTAGGTGTGTGTGTTTCACTTGAGATGTGACTCGTGTGTTTCTGTGTGTGTGTGTGTACCAGTGACAGGCTGACAGCCATCTTATTTACACCTATCCCAATTTCTACAAGCTCTTAGCTGGACTAGTGTGCTATGTGTATGTGACAAGTGTGTGTGTGTGTGTGTGTGTGTGTGTGTGTGTGTGTATATATGGGACCAGATAGAAGCTCGACACCGTTGGCAGCCATCTTATTTAACCCCCCTGTCCCAGTATGTGTGTCTCGATACTTGACTCCCTCTCAGTGCACTACACTGTTTCACTGTGGCGTCTTTGTCAAAGTGCAAATCAGATGCTCTAAGACTCGTCTTTGAGGAGATTTAAACACCTGCTCCTCCTCCTCCTTAACTGCAGAATTCATTTCACTCTTACTCTAGAAAATCATTTTTAAAATGAGGAGGGAGGAGAATGAATGAGAGTGTCGAACGGTAAAGCCAGCAAGATAAAACGCGCCACCAATGCTAAGCTGTTTTACTACAGGGGCTACGGTTTTTAGTGATCAAATAAAAAAGACCTTTTAACTTTTATTTGGTCTCCACAGCAGTAGGGATCATACGGTAACAATGGGCACGCAGTGTAAATCTCTGCTCCGCTCGGCTACTGAGGCTTTAGTTACTCAGGGCACAGCAGAAGGTGAACAGAGCACGTGTCACATTATACCGGGTTGAACTACATTCCTTTTTTAGCCTTTTTTCACTGGCAGATTTTCTAATCGCTAATTAGTTTGGTTTGCTTAGGGTAAAGTTCTGTGTTTCAGGGAACTGCGTTTTATTTCTGACCTGTCTTTCACCTACTACAACCTTTTGTTGACGTATGAGGTCCATACTTAGGTTCACACATGGAGGTAGGTCCAATGTTCTCTTTACATTTAACCTTAAGCCAGTCTACCCAGAATGCCTTTGTCAGAAAGGTTAGGTACCAAGCTTTGAAAGGCAGGCTTCTTATCCAGCAGATGTACATGAGAGTAAAACGGATATCCTTTACGGCAGTGTGTGTTGTGGTGGTTGGGGCATAATCTGATCAACTGATTTCACTATAGATCTTGTGGCTAAGTTAGCCACAATAACTGGCTTCAAGAATTGGAACTTGGGCATGTGGGTAGAGGTTTTTCCAGATGTTGCCTCAACCTCAAAGCCACAGAGATGCTCCAAAATCTGTGCTTTGATCATAAACCCGACCTAAGTGGATCCATAAAAACCTGTAGCCAGAGGGATTATTAACTTTACAGGTTCTGTACAGGACTGATCTGAGGATCAGTTATGGGTCTAAAATACAGTTGAGAATAAATAAAACAAAGCACAAGACAAAGACTTTTAAACTAACCGGGCAAATATACAGTATATTACAGTAGTATGTCGATGAGTGCCGATTTTTGTGGGGTGATTTTGGGTCTGTTTATTTAGTTAATTTAATGGTTGTTTTAATAGTTAGTCTTTTAACTGTTCTAAGAATAACCAAGACTGCTTTGATGAATTTACGTGTTTCATATTTCTAAACTGTGGCCTAGGTCGGGAACCCGCAACACACAGAATTGCACGAATATATCTTCAATAGCAGAGGTTGACCAGTTGGACTATTTTTAAATATCGCCCAAACCTTAAAAGATGGATATGATGTGTTATTTTCTTACAGATATGTGGCCTATTTTAGCATAGACAAACTGTACATGTCATAGGTCTTTTAAATGTGAGCATATGTGTGGCCCGCTGTGTGTGTGTGTGTGTGTGTCCTGGTGCTTCTATCTGTCCCTCTAAGCAGTCTTGGCAGGCCAATCTAATCTGGCCAAGGAAAGGTCAGCCCCACTCTAACTGCCTTTCACTCACATTATACACCCACATCCCCCCCACTTTCCTTTTTACCTCTCCACCTCTCTTCTTATTTATTCCTCACCTTATTTCCCCTCCTTTTTACGTCATCACTCCTTTCTTACCTTTATACTTTCGCATTCATTCGACGTATCCCCTTTCTACTAATGTTCCCTTTTTTCTTTTTTTGACTGTTCTCTTTTACCACGTTTATTTTTCTCTCTACTCCTGTATCCATTGTTCTCTTTCCTCCCCCCCTTGTACCAGTTTCCTCTCTTTTTCCGCTTGACAGGCGTGATCAATACACACACTTCCCGACTCCTACAGGGCCATCCTGGTCTGCCTCATTATCATAACCATCTCCTGAATACCGGTGACTCTTAACATGCTAACTACATGTTTTATCCTCTGATTTACATGTTTGCAACAGCGAAAACACTCAATCTACATAGGTGTCACCTCAGCGCTGCTACAAGTCAAGATCTGAGGAGGCAGGCGGGATCAAAGGCTCATCAGGCTGACTGACAGCCCGGATCAACCAATCCACCGACCTCGCAGACATCCCGTTACCATAGCAATTATCTGGACCCTCTAAGAAGCAGAGAGGAGGAGAGTCAAAGGTCATCGCACTATCTTTCTGCCATTTACAGGTCAGAGAGAGAGAGATGGGGAAAAGGACACAGACACAAAGACATGAGACGGCCATCTTTGAAGTCCATTTACAAAGCGCAGATTTTCTCCTCTCTCTCAATCCCTCTGGGCCATCTCATCCTGCAGTAATCCCCCTCTTCTTCTCCTCCTCCGTCTCTCAGCACGGGCTGATATCAGACCTCTGGATCTGTCTACCTCCCTGTCTGTCTTTCCATCTGTCTGCGGATAAACTCACAGATCAACCACTCTGTTCAATGCCTGTTAATGCCAATGGAAAGCACGAGAGAAACAAATATCAATAGGAAAAAAACTTAACAAAAAATATGTTGTATTCAAATCTATTTTTAGTTTTGGCTGTCATTCTAGCCAAAATGTTCCTAATTGATTATTTGGTGAAATATTTTTGAAGTATTGCAGTTATTTGCTGGATATCAGGAACTTGAAGTGCTATTGGACAATAGAACACTGTGAGCACCTCATTGGGCTCTGGAAACTTTGCACTGAATTTGAAAGTATTCCCTGGCATCGTGCTTTCAAAATGATTCCAAACATTGTGAAAGAACAAAAGTGTTTATTTGCAGATCTCTCAGAATGTCTTTTTAGCCTTGTTAAACTATTCTTTAAATATTTCCTCATTGTAATCTACATTTATTGTAGTTTAAACTATTTTATTAAGGTTCACTTTTTTGTGCCGCTTGATTGAACACAAATAATGAGACCAATTGATTTGATATGAAAATAAGGGCTTTGCACCCTTAAAGTCTGAGCATCTTTACGTTTTGGAATCTGTACAAAAACTGAGCTCTCTTATCGGCGCTAATATCAAAACAATTAAAATGGCACAATCCAAAGTGCATGACATTATGATCAAAACTTGGGCCATATTTTTATAATGTATCCCGCAAGGTTAAGAAGCTAAATCTAGTTGCTTTCCGGCTCATAAAACGGACACTTGGACAGATGAAGAAGGCTCTCTGTCTGAGCTGAGGCTCCTTTCAACCTGGCTAAGCCGGTGCGAGACACAGGGAAGTCTTCCCTCACACAGAGTTCAATCATAAACGGATCTTGTTCGATTTTCCTCTCTCCCTCCTCCCCTTGAAAGGGCCCCGTTCCCTCTGCCTTTCTTCCTGGAGCTCTCAAAGGGAGGGAAGGATGGTGGCACTTCACAGAGGGATAGGCCCTCTCTTCATGCCGCCAGCTGAGGAGACCCCCTGCAACATCTCTGTGTCCGTCTGGCCCACGCCGGCCCTCCAGAGCCTACCCGATTCAGCGGCGAGTGTTAGAACCACTGAGGAGCTTTCAAGACAAGATCCACCTTCTGAGCCCTGAGCAGAGTGTGTGAGTGTTTGAAGTGGTTCTCTCCAGGCCACCTCAGTTAAATGTGTCACATCACAAGGCCCCCTATTAGAGAGCGGCAGAAGGGTCCTGTGTCTGCTCGCTTTAACGACGTGAAAGAGAGACGGAGCGCCGGGGAGATGGATGGCCACCTCCCACCCCGCGAGCTGTTCTTTGGAGCGCTACAGTTGAGATTTCAACATTGATCTGTCTTGTCTCCTCGGCTCTCTCTCTCTGGCTTGCAGGTGAGGCTCAGCATGTGTGTGTTTAACAACGGATCGAACAGGCAGAGCTGGAAGGGGACAGATGAAAGCCGAGGCAGAGGGTTTGAAGGAGCCTCTCAGAGATGACAACGGCTCTTTACCTCCATCTGTGCACATCTTGAGGGTTTTCCTCCACCGTTGTTTTTGTATCCACATATTACACAAACACACGTGAGGCCACAATGGGGGGCACAGTGCGGAATAAATCATCCAACCCAAAAGTCAACGTAGATACATTTATCTTTTGGGCTTGGGTTTTTAACATATTATAGACAAAGTGATGAAATAAGGAAATAGTAAGTATATATATATATATCTATAATGAAATGATTTGTAGCTCCATTTTGCGTTCCCAACAGGAACTGATCACTGTTATATTCTACAGATTTTCCAAACAATAAATCCAAAAACTATAAAGACATTAACCAGTTCATTATAAAGCATAGGCTGCAGCACTTTTAATATGAGTAAAGAAATATGTGTCTCCGTTCTGGTCTTTGGGTGAATCAAGTATATACAGTAGGGCTGAACGATATATCGTTATCGTATCGATATCTCGATATGAACATTCAGGAAATCAATATAAAAAAAGCAATGGTATAAACGATATATATATATATTTTTTTATATTTATTTGAATAGGGACAATGCACATTAATGAACATCAGTATAAAAACAAATGTAAATNCGACNACACACACACACACACACACACACACACACCCACACACACACACACACACACACACACACACACACACACACACACACACACACACACACACACACACACTCTCTCTCTCAAAACAGACACACACACAAACACACACACACACACACACACACACACACACACACACACACACACACACACACACACACACACACACACACACACACACACACACACACACACACACACACTTGCCCAGCTGAATGTGTTTTCCTTCCCCTTGCTAAGAGGGTTGTGTAGGGTCCGGCCAAGCCCAGCTGAGCTTGGCCGGACCCCCACTCCCGCGGGGCGAACCTGGAATTCCCCTCAGAACACTGCTGGCACCATTGTGGCTCCCTGGTCCCATTCAACACAGCTGACAACAGACTCAACACTGAATTGCTGGCTAAAATGTGTAAGAAGGGGAGGTTTGAACTGAAAGGTAATTAATGGCTGAAATATGTGGAACATTTTAAAATTTGAATGCGAAGAAAGGACTTCAAAATGCTTGAAAAAGTTTACAAATCGTAAAAACCGTAAAACCAGAGTGTTCCCAGAATGTCAAATATTACTAAAAAGGTTTAAAAGCTATGAATTAGAAAAGTTAGCATGCATATCCTACATGAGCTAATGGTGTTATGATGTTTGAAGGAAGTCGGTGTGTTGGAATATGTGAAGTATGCGTGTGTACCTCGGAAGCCTCCTTCCAGCAAGGCTGTGGCTCTGATCCTCTTCTGCCCCGCCCACTCGTACTCCTCAAAGCCCCGCCCATTTTCTCCATCTGCAGAGTCATCGTCGCCTAGCGTACCCTCACGCTGACACACAAACAAACGGACACATGTTAATGAAAGCAAACATTTCACACATTTGGTGGCACTTTGTTCTTGAAAAATAGTGGTGAGGTGTAAGAAAGGCCAGATCTCCATAGGACGCGTTATCTGTACTATACCATGAGCAGCTGTGATGAGCACTACTATTGTTCGTTGTCAATTAAACAAGAATACATTTTGTTTATCTAAATAACTAATCTAATTATTTTACAAAAACTACTTGAACCTAGCAACTTATTCAGTGCAAGCTCCTACTACTTCCTTCTTCTTTTGGGAGGAATCTTCTGTGCCATGTTATACCTTTTTGTCCCTATACTCAAAATGTTTTCAACAGGACGTAGGCTCAGCTCTCTCTGCTTTCAAATTAAAGGCCTTTCCATCTTGGAACAGATTCAAATAAATGCTCTGTTTAGCCAAAAGCAGGCTTTTTTGTGGCCAATTTAACCTGCTGTTTTGGACTGAAACATGTGACTAGTTTCAGTACTAAGAATAAGTAATAACAAACCGCTCACATGGCATGGTACAGCACTTTAACGCCTATAGTGCAAAAGAGTTATTAGTGATTCTACAGCTAGTGGAACAGACAGAAGGCAGTGGGGTGAGAAACAAGTGGATTAGAGGTTAGTGGTAACCATTTGTTGTCTTTTTCTTGTATTCTAGGAAAGAACAGAACTGCTGAGCATCTATAGGAAAGAATGACTGGAGACCAAGTTGGACATTAAGGGCTGTCGTTGGGGTGACATCTACATACAAGAGAGAGAAGACTTTTAAAGTCTCCCTGCTTGGGCTTCATCTTCAGCAAGCATAGGCCAAATTGGTCCTCATCTACAGATATGAAAGAGGTAACTGATCATTCAGGAGACGCATGCCAATGGATAAGATGCAAACTTATCATATGGGATAAACCAAAGCCTTTAGCTTAAATGTTGTTGTGTCTGCTTTGCTACATCAGCATTTAAGACAAGTTCATATTTTAACTTCAGCATATTTAAACTTCAGCATGTAATTCACTAATTGGATAGAAGCCACCGATCCACATTCATTGTAATAATGGTGTAACATATATTTAATGACGCAGGTATAGCTCTCGCTAAAATTACCACTATTCCGGTTGATCGCACTCTTTGGAAGGATCTTTTTGGAACTTGTGTGTATAACATTTCTTAATGGCAGTTGATAATGCATTGCTTGGCACTCGCTTTAAGTTTGCCATAGCAAATTGCACTCCTAGACCTGTGTCTAATGTGAAAACTATTTGACCTACAGTAAGAAATACTGCTTTGGAGTACATTTACCCGAAATGTATTCCAAAATGGCATTGCAGTGCAACTTTTACACAATAACAGCACCAGTTTAGAATTGACATCGGACTGAAAAGGTGATGCACAATCAATGCATTTGTCAATGGTCAAGTCTTTCAGTTAATCCCATATGATGAGAATGCAGAACCACCACGTAAAGGAAGTTAGGAGGTGGTTAATATCTAAAGGAAGTCCAGTTGCTATTGGTTGGCATCTACACTAATCTACAGAAGATATTGGACAGCATCTACAGGAAGAGAAGGGTTGACAGGCTGTCCCACTGGTTTCAGGGCCAAGAGTGCACTACCTGGATCAGGCATTGTTCCACATGTCTACTCATATCTTCCTCGCTCCCAGCCAAGGGGGCGCTGCACAGCGGACATACCTGGCCGCCCTCCTCAGGCTTCCTCCTCTTCATCTTTCCTATACGTGCTGGAAATGGACAGACAAGGGAGAGAGACGATACACATTTTAATGTCAATGTTTATAATCACGTGAAGGGTTAGTATAATTCAAGCACTTTCAAGGTACCAAAAACCAAAAGGTTCCAGACTTTCAAGCCATTATTATATCATCTGGATTGTTAATATGAGTCTACATTTACACTCAATCAAACTTATTTCAAAACATATTTCCTTTTTTACCAGTTATTCAATAATGTTAAATGTATGTTATGATTCGGTTAGGTCATTTCATGCTTGCTTATTTTAATTGGACCTCATTGGACTTATCTAGCTATGAAGTACTTTTGTATTTATACGAGTAATGTGTAGATACAACAACAGAATATGTTGAAACTTCAATCATTTCTCAAAGTATTTTTCTTCAAATTCACGTACATTTCTAACTTTAATTGTTCAAATTAAGCATTTTTCAGACTTTGTAAGAAACCCTGCATTTTAAGGTCTATTAGCGTGTTTCATTGGATGATAATGTCATGGGTTTCAAGGCACAGGAGAATACCTAAAATAAAAAAAACCCTGAGGGATAGGCTGCTCAATTAATCGTATTATAATCGCGATTACGATTATGGCTTGCAACGATTACGAAAACAACGTAATCTAAATAAAACGATTATTTTTTTATTATTACTTTTTAAATATATATTTTTTTGTTCTGGTTTTTCAGTTGAATTATACTTAAAGTTCAGGGTAATCAACTGTTAAAAACATACTGTTCACATTTTTTTTCTCCAATAAATGGATGTTTTCAAAGTCAATGAATAATCTCATTTAATAAATCGCAATTACAATTATTGACCCAAATAATCGAGATTATGATTTTTGCTATAATCGAGCAGCCCTACTGAGGGATATTTGTGTTGGATGGATGTTCCTGGATTGGATGTGCATTTTAATATAGCTGCCCTTCATTCTCAATGCTTTAAGTCCATAAGGCTGAGAGGAGGCGGAGCTAAACTTGGCGACTTCTGAAATGTGTTAAGAAAGAAATGACAAGACGTGACAGTCTCAATCCCCCTTCCTCCTCTCTACATCCACACCCTCCCTCTCCTCTTGGTTCCTCCTCCCTTTCCTCCCCTGCCCTCCTGTCACAGCTTCCCCCCACCACACACACATTTAATTAGAAATTTAACAGAGCAGAACAGCCGTCATTGCGCCCCGAGTCTCTGTCGTTTTTTCTTAACTGCAAATGGCGCGCAGGGACATTAATTTTTAGCTGGGTGGGAAAGCAGAGGGGGCCAAAAGGGACATAAGGAAATACAGAGGATGGAGGAAGCGAGGCTGAAGGGTTCAGGACAGAAACGGCCTCCTCCTCCTCTCCTGACGCTAATCGAGGGGAGCGTGGTTAAATAGGGAAGGGGCCGCTAATTAGGTCCGGCAGGGATCTCTGCCCCCCCTCAGCCGCTATACCCCACATGAGAATGATTCCTGGTTCCACATGAGGGCGGAAAGAAAGTAATGGAGGGCGAAGTTTAAACTAAGTCTCTTGTCATGGGCGTCAAGTGTAAAAGGCGTGTGCCCTGAGACTAAAACCAGCACAGTTCAGTTAATGCTTTTTGGTTTGACAAAGCTAAATATTGACTGTACAAGTGGACATGGGTGACTGACTTAAGTTGACAGGTTTTATTCAGTAGCATGAAAAAGAAAGTCAGCTGACATTTGACATCTTTGTAATCACTTCTTAAAAGTCATTAGTTAACAAGCCTTTAACTAATAACGACATCCATGTTCCACTTGTTTTGACTTCCTTTTGTTGTATTACTGTTGCTTTTGTTGAAAAACTGTGTGTGGGTTTGGGGAACTTTGAACTCATGCTCTGTTGCTGCCTGATCGACCTGTAAAGCACTTTGTGACGTTGTATCAATTAAGTTATTATTATTTGTGTTAACATGAAGGAGTATTTTTTTTCTTTCTTCAGAAAAGAAGATGCTTTGCTCTGTGACACACCGTGAGTGTATTTGTAATAATTCATGAAAAAGTAAAAACTGGAGCCACAGTTGTCCGTCATGTGACTTCATTAATGAGTATCAAATCAAATAAAGTTTTATTTATATAGCACATTTTTAAAACGATTTTTGGTCGAGCCAAAGTGCTGTACATATAATAATTACCTTACAGTAAGGACACTATACAGTAAATACAACAGCACAGTGTGTGCAGAATATCAGTATGATAGATAAACATCACCTACACCACAGAAAATACACATAAGTAACTTGTGTTCCAATAAATCAAAACACACACAGTTCAGAAATGCCTACTTTAGGTAAAAAACATACCATTATAAAGACTCCTTGTATAAGAGACCTTTTTTTGTCTCACCTTGAAACTGGGCATATTATGTCATTTGTGTTAATCATTCGTTTTTCAACTTGTTTTGCAATCATCTCTTGGAACTAGAATGCTAAATATAATGAATGGATAACATGCAATATTTTTAAATTAAATAATTATTTGTATTTATTTTATAAGTAAAGTAAATCATGAAATGGAGCCATATACAGTATATTATTAAGCCACATTAAGAAGATAAGTGAATCAAGACGCTGTGTGTACATACCATTCAATCTTGTTTGCCTGTTTGCTCGAACTCGTAAAAACGTCTGCAGACAGAGGAAAGAAGAGGGGGGAAATATACATTAGATAATAAATAAACAATATAAAATGTTTACAAGTATGATAATAACTTTTCAGAATGGGATTGCTTTGGATGCTGAGAATGGGGCACTGTAAACAAACCTACATGTCTAGTGATCTCCACATCCTCCATGACTCTGAGGCTTCACCCTCAGCTCATTCTATTGCCGCCAAAACTCACTGCTGCAAACGACCAAAGTGTGTTTCCAGATACTGTTCATCACTGCAAACTAACGCCAGTTTCTACAATTTAATACGGATGGAAAAGGATTGAAAGTGGCGCTTCGAGTCGGCAGATTCTGCTCATGTCCGACGCCATGTTGGCTTGTTTTGATCACGTGACGCTCTGGGGACGGAAGTGAGGAAACGTCACATTTTGTTCCAGATATCAACCGCTAGGGGGAAGCAACGAGTTTCTTTAAATGCTCTTTTTATTATTGGGGTTAAGAGTTTTACATAGCCTGCACATCTGTTATACTGCTGTAGGACTGTTTATTAAATATACAAAATAAGGAATACAACATTTTACTTTAAGATATTAGCTTGGCAGTGGTTGACTTTAACTTATTAACATTTTGAGGTTCTTGTAGGCTACTACTAAAGCTAGTTGAGTAGAACTTGAAATGTTTTGGCTCTATGAAACCTGATGTACTTATATGATTCTATCTTCTTCAAGTTTGTATCTTTGGTCGAATGCACTTATTGTAAGTCGCTTTGGATAACAGTGTCAGCTAAATGCAATGTAATGTACTAAACTTGATTATTTCCATGTTGTGGGAGATAAGACTTTTTCTTGGAAGCCAGTATTGTATTTTTTACTCCACCACATTTAATTAATGTATGTATGAATAACTGTGAGGAATATGCAGGTATGAGAAAGGAGAAGGAGAGAGAAGAAATAATGCAATAATAAGAATGTAATACATTGAACCACATAAATAAATAATAAAAACAAGAACAGTAAAACTATAAAAAATATTGTTTCAATTATATAAACTTTTTCTCATATCTTATTTTTTATATTGTTTAATATTAAATCCAATGTTGAATTATCAAGTGTCAAATTATCAACAAGACATCATTTTTTCGCAATAAGTGAAAAGCCAAAACATGTTGAGAACTAAATTAATCATTTATAATGCATTGTATTTTTTAATCACATGTAGTTTTAATAATTTTATTTAAATCTGCAAATAACATTGCAGTGAAAACTTGTACGGTAGAAGTATACATTAGGGAATAAGGTGTGTAAAAGGAACTCAAAACTGGCCGCTTTGGAATGAAATTTCAGTCTACACTTATTTAAATTAATGTGGAATATTTGGGGTCTCGGGTAGTTCAGGATGCCTGGGGTGAAATTCCCTGTATCATTACCAGTAATGGTCTTATCATATAAAGTCATCGCATTGGGAAATACATTAAGTGAGGTCAGATCTCCACTTTTGTGTTGCGAAATGTGCACCTCGGGTCTACTGGGATTCAAAGACAGAGGCCTGTACGTCTCAGCTTTATGCTGACTAAAGCATCCCACTCGTCGCAGTTATAGATGCCCTCTCTTTGACACGGGAACAGTGAGCAGACAGCAGTCAGGCCTTCTTCTGTTCTAGCCCTCCATCTATCTCCACACTCATTCCCTCTCTCCCCTATCCTCCCCTCCCTGCTGCCTCTTGAGTAATTGGCCCACTTGCCTCGCGTGGCCGCCACTACTACCGTATCATTATGATACACTCACTGAACGGCTGCTGATAGGTCAGGTTTTTAGAAGAATGGAAGAGAGAAAAAGGACTGACAGGAAGAGAGAAGGTGGCAAAGTCTGCCATTACGCTTCATTTTCAGGGTGGTAAAAAGAGTCAACATTGACTTAATCATTTGTATAATATAAGGTGATTTCAGCAGTTTCACTTAATGAGAAAATCTACTTTATCGCTATAAGGTCTTTATGAGCTGTGTCATCCTGATCGTATGGATGTAACGTCTGTGTGGACATAATAGTTCGTATTTTATGGTGTAAGGGGGGAAACCCACTTAACCCGGAGATACATCATCGCCAGAAGAATTACCCGAAGAAACTTTGATGAATTTAAGAGATAAAAGCAGTCATGGTGGCTCTCGAGACATGTGAGATTTAAAGGGATTGGCCTGTTGGTCAACCTAACTGCTGATAAGGCATGTGAAATCAAAACCTACCATGATCCTCTGCTGCTACACTGTAATACATCTGTCTGATGGAATTCACTTTGATATAAAATACAGGAAGTCTCAGGGTTTGCTACATAGTTAAATAATTGTTGAGGATGAACGGATTAGCCAGATTTGGGAAATGTTGTGTGAGAGAAACAGAATATATCATCTAATTTTAGAACATTGCAGCAGACTTGTGTACTGGGTATCATATATTTCTCCCTAATTCACACTTTGAATCTCTTGGTATACCTTTTTATAAACATTATGACTAGAAGTAGCTTTATCTTTGTCCAAAGAGTGCCCAAGAAAAAATGACCTTTGACACCTCCCATTTAAATAAATGCAATTGTAAAATGCGCTAACTTCCCATGTTAGTGGATCATATGAAATGTTAGAAAGAAATCTAACAATTCCAGAGGGTGTGGTGAGTATGATTGACTTAGTGCTGTGGTTTAGTCCTTGTGACCACACTATGGTTAGATATTGGTACAGGCAGTAAAGATTAGTGTAAACGTAGACAGTGAGCGTGACCTGGTATCTGTCGGAGTGGTGGGCGTCTTCAGAGGACATGGGCGAGACCACTGGAGACTCTCCCTCACGCTTGATGTGCACCGACAACAGCATTGACTGAAGAAAGAAGGAGAAAGGGAGAAATAAAATGTCTTCTATATGCAGATGATCCTGTTATATTATCACCTAGGAGCACAGCACAACCTGTCCTCGCTTGACAGGTGTAGCAGGGGAATAATCAATAAGCACGGACAAGAGTAAGGCTGTTTCAAAAAATAAATATAGATCAAAGAAAACAGATCCCATTTTACTGTGGTAATACGGCCTCCTACACCTAAGCTTGATCTTTAGTTTTGAATGATTTAAAATGTGCCTATGTTCCAAAAACAACAAACGCAACATCTAAATAATAGATATATCGTAAAAGAAGATGTGCCGGATGCTAAAAAGGTGTAACAGTTAAAAGGTCTGTTGACGTGTAAGTGCTACATTTAAAGAAAGCTGGGCAATATGGTACATTATTGACATCGGGATATGAAAGTATATGTATTTTTACATTCTGGGTATCTTAATATCGTATATCATTTTCCGAATTGATCAGGCTTTTCTAACAGTTCAATTGTTTTCCCAGCTTTACTCTGAAGACCATAACATTTTGGGAACAACTACATCCCAATGAATGTAAATGATATTTTGACCTTGTGTATCAAATGATTAAATACCAAAAAGATATAAATAAATAAAGTTTATTTCTGTATTATAGTCCTACACAGAAACAACATCTGGAAATCTTTACCCTTGGAGATTTAAAATGGTGTTATTGCCTCAGCTGCTGAGAGCTCCACGTCATTGATGATGACTGTAACCTGCCTGACTTTGTCCATAAAGTCCCTTCCACTGATTAGAGTTAATGTTTATGGGACGTTAAGAGGAGTTAGGGAACAACGAGGGATTGGAAATAGAGCTAGAAGGGGAGAAGAGGAGGAGGAGGAGGAGGGTAAACATCTGAAAAGGAGGAGCGTAACTGTCTGACATTACAGGACACTGCCTGTCCATAAATCTGTCCCACAACACTTTGCACACACACACTCTTATAGACACACACATATCACATAATATCCTCTTGTAACCCACTCTGTGACAAAGACAATCCAGGGAATTCCTCAAGTGAAAAAGACAAAGTATAAAATGATGGGAAAGAAAGAGAACAAGGGTAGAGCTATAGCTGTGTGTGTGTGTGTGTGTGTGTGTGTGTGTGTGTGTGTGTGTGTGTGTGTGTGTGTGTGTGTTTGTGTGTGTGTGTGTGTGCTTATGTTTTTATGTGACTTGCTTCTGCTGTTTTTTACAAGGCAGCTATGAAATATTTGTATTTACAGTCGTCTCCTATTAATCAAGCGGAAAGGGGCAGAGCAGAGGCTTAAGTGCTCGACAGCAGTAATCTAATAATAATATGTGAGAAATGACCAACCTCCAGTGCTGCCACAGTAAATTGGACATTATGCATGATGCTTTTATGCCTCTGTGTAAGTGTGTGAGTGTGTGTGTGTGTGTGTGTGTGTGTGTGTGTGTGTGCGTGCGTGCGTGTGTGTGCGTGCGTGCGTGTGTGTGTGTGTGTGGGCTTTCTCTTTTAGCCAGGTTTAAGAAGGTCAGGAATCATTTACCTGGAGGCAACATGGAAATATGTTTAAGTTTAATCATTAGAATATGACATTTAACGGTGTCTGCACAGCCATTAGAAATGAAGATCTTCCAATGAAATGAGGGTCTCTTAAACCAATCAATAACATCAACATGTAAAGAAGATAGGCTACATTTCAATCTAAATCCAGGCAATTAACACATTTTGAAGTTCTCACTCCTTATTTGACTGAAATGACTGTGTTTTGGAAAAAAGAATCATGTGTGTTAATAATAAAGGCATACAGCCTTAAAGAGATCTTAATCTGTTCACATGCATATGAGATGATGTAGTATCCAACATGTGTGTCCCTACAGATATCACATGTTTTAGTCTGACCCAATAACCTTAGCGTAGAATAAATAATAAGTAGTCGCGTTTTGGTTAATCTCCGATCTAATGGGGGGCGGGGGGTGCATACGTCCCCAGCAGACCCCTGTGCTTCAGACTGGCCCTCTCCTCTCCAGCCTGCTGCTGAATACTAAACCACAGCGGAGAGATGCACAGTCACGGCCGGGGAGGGGGGTCTGAGCTCACCCCTGCTCCGTCTGCCTCTCTCAAGTACAAGCCCACCCACAGAGTGTGAGGGCTGCTGTAAGCCTGGGGTCAGCACCCAAAGGTGTGTGGGAATGAAAATTGGTCTCTTGAATCATTTTGGAGCTCCTTTGTTGCATGCATGTGCACGTAGGATGTTTTTTGAATCTGCGGGAGGCCATCTGAATTTTACATGGTCATCAGTCAGAATGAAAACAAACATGGAGCGTGATTTCAGAGGTTAGATTGAAACTTTGTGGAGTTAATTCACTGTTTTATAAAGTCACCATATCATGTTATCTACGTTAACAAGATACCTTATGAGCTGGCTTTAGCTAAAGTCAGTTTGATTTATAGAGTCCGAAACCACGCAATAGCAGGATTTTAAAATGTGTACAACATTAAAAGCCCTTTTAAAAGACAATTGTAGTGTGTTATTCTCTGCAAAGGCTAACATCCCAAAGTTACCTCCAGAGGAAGTTTCTATCTCATAGGTTTTCAGACCTGGCAGTTTGGAAGTCACATGTGGAGTCATTTCTAGATCCTCTGAAATGTGAGTTGGGGTTTTGAATAAAATCTACTATTTAGACATTATGTTACAGACACAGATAGGTCTTTTGTTCCTATAAAACCAGGGCGATCAGTGGATGCTGACACTATAGGGAATGTGGAGTTGATGGAATCATAAATCCTTTCCCCCCTTTTCTGTCTGTCTGCATCTCTTCCTCTCTAATTGGAACAATCACAGTACAGTGCCTCTTGGCTCTGCTGCCTGCTGGACCACGGGAGACTGATACGTCTCTGTGTATGTGTGTGTGTGTGTGTGTGTGTGTGTGTGTGTGTGTGTGTGTGTGTGTGTGTGTGTGTGTGTGTGTGTGTGTGTGTGTGTGTGTGTGTGTGTGTGTGTGTGTGTGTGTGTGTGTGTGTGTGTGTAGGGTATACTGACCCTCACTCACTCAAGTTTAATGTCATTTTTCCCCCAGTAGTGCGGACTAGTTGACCTTTTATTGCCATTGACTTCAAGTCAAGATCCGCTAAAGAAAGCAGGAAGAAATAAATGAGGAACAGCAGAAGGAGAAGACACTTTTTCCCCCAACTGAACATTTTATGACAGACACACGCTTATTTTGAGAAGGATATACATGTGAGTTCAGAATCAGAATCAGAATACCTTTATTCGTCCCACAGAGGGGACATTAACATTTGTGACAGAAGAGCCAAAGACAGCTTAAAGGTCCCATGTCATGGCCATTTCTACTGATCATAATTCCATTGTTGAGGTCTACTAGAATAGATTTACATTGTTCAACGTTCCAAACTCACATTGGTTTCTCATACAGCATCTCTGTATAGTATGTGTATTCACTCTCTGTCCTACACGGCTTGTTGGAGCTCCTGCCCCCCCTCCCTGTGAGCCCAGTGTGCTCTGATTGGTCAGCTCGCCCACTCTGTTCTGATGAGTCCACCACCGTTACAGCTGAACATCAGTGATTATGTGTTACAATGGCGTTTGTTAGCAACCAGGAAATGACCCCAGTAATGACAAACAGATGAGAATGCTGCGTGGGGTCTGGGTGGTGTGTTGGCGGGACGTTGCGGGGCTCGCTGCTCCGCCCTTTGAGGCTCGAGGAGCGGACAGTGTGAGCTGGATTACTGGTGTCGTTTCCTGGTTGCTGCGTGGGGTCTGCGAGACAGCGAGACATCTAGCTCCACTAGCACCCTCCCCCCCAGCACACAGTTTCGCCGCTGAGAGTGTGTGTGAGGAGCTCCACGGAGTGGTGCATTTGGGTATGGGCATATGCTGTACCCAGCAAGTTAAATGAGAAATCCCCAACGAGGCGTTCTGGGGCAGCATAGACAGGTCTTCTCTGTGTTAGAGTTTTACTC